GAAAATTGACGAATTTTCGGAAATTTTGACCTAAAAGAGGGCTGAAAACAGTCTTTTCGAATGCAAATGGGGGGGAGGGGGTATGTCGGAAATTTGAAAGTTTTGTCGGAAATTTAGGAGGCTTTGCCCCCCCCCCCCCGGAAAAGTGAATTTCCGCCACTCTGGAGGCAAATGGTGTCTCCAAAGAAAGTAAATGTACAGACAAGATGAAACTTTAGACCGCAGAATATTGCACAAGTAGTTATCAAACTCATGTCACAAAGTGATAGAGAACATGTATGACAAGTTATTGGCCAGGGTTTTTTTAAAGGGAAATTGCAATATAAATTTTTATTTTCTCATTTGAAAGAACTTTTGAAACTACACATTAACTTCTTTTACTGATTTTTCATATCTTGCTTAGTTCTTGAAATATTTTCACTTGAACGGTAATGAGATGTCCGCCATCTTGGATAAATTTTTGAGCTCATTAACGGTAGTTTTGGTGACGTCACAACAGGGATTTACCATATAAAAGTATTCGTTGCTGACCAAATATTGATTGGTAGATGTTTTAAAGGTCTTGAGTGACCTTGATATTTCGATGTTTTGACTGCAAAATTATTAGTGGTTGTCTAGATAAAAATATTGCGTGACCCTTGTTGTGACTTGACATGCATGCGTATCTACAAAAATTGAAGATGGCGGATATTTCATTCCTTTCGATTAAGATATTTGTAGAAGTAAGTAAGATATGAAAAAAAATGGCAAAAGAGTATACACAGTCTTACAAGTTCTTTCAAATGAGAAAATACATTTTTTTCCATTTCCCTTTAATTAATTAATTGATATTTGAGGTTGGGCAAAAAAATATTTTGACATTTTAATTAAAGTTGAATCAGCATGCACAAGTTTGAACAAGAAAAACATTTGTCTTCGGTGCCAGTCCGAATCTGTCCTCCTTCCAATAATTCCAGGCCCACAAAATTCTTCGGGCCTCGGTTTGCGTCGGACTGTTCAACCCTTCAGCTAGCGGCTCCCGCTTTTCATGTCATTAAAGACGACTGATGGACACGCAGCGTACCATGGAGAAAATACATATTAAATTGGTACAGCTCTACACTTTTTACACCCCAGTCCAATTACACACCTGCACGGCGACAGAACATAATTTTTAATCTCTTCTTAAAGCTCGCTGATATTGCATTGTCCAGCAAAGCATAAACGTAGGGATTAAGGCAAGCCGAACCAATGTCTCTAGAGCATCGCTGATACCCACAACGCTTGCTTCGTATCGTAAACTCCTTCATTAACGAACGTCATTTGCTGTTGAACTTGAAGAGGAAGATTTGAAACAACAAAAATGACCACAATTATTATACCGGTAAATATGGCTTTGGTGTTTCGCTGTTGCAATGCGAATGCCAAACGAGATTTGGTCACATCTGGCCTTTGCGTCACGTTGCAAGTTTGCTGAATATTTTTCGAATGTTTATGAAGTGAGAAGCAAAGTTTAGCATAAAGAAGGCTTAAAAATATTATAGGCAGTAAAAATTGTAAGGCTAGCTGACTATGCAAGTAAATATCGTATAAAAATATACCCAAATATGTATCAGAACAGAGGTTAGAATAGTTAGAATGTGTTTCGGCGTCAAGCGAAACGAATTTTGGCGCCAAAAGTACTACGGAAGTCAGATACACAAGCACAATGGTAAAAGTCACTCGTTTTCGACTAAGTTTCTCCTTAAAAGGATTCACGACACTTCGGTGCCGTAAATAACCGATCATGACCATAAAATACACACCAGTTGTATAAAACAACGTAGTTCCAGTCAGCCAGAACTTACAAATTAACCCAAAGTTTTTAAGAACGTAGCCTTTATACCAAATCCACGGTAGAATTTGCCATTCGATTATGGAACAAGCCAATAGTCCAATGTCACAGAAGGATAGCTGTAGGACTGTTAAATAATAGTTCGATTGTAAACGACGTTCACTTAGCACGGAAATAACCACCAATAAGTTGCCTGTCAAGCCAAATATTTGAATCAATGCGAAAACTGAAGATTGAAGCCAAGGGCAAGGATCACTCGATGAAGTGTACCCATATTGAAATATTTCGGGCCTATTTGGCCCAAACGTTTGGTTTGAAATATTACTAATGTTTGGCATGTTTTAGGCACACAACAACGCTTCAAAACATAACCCGTTAAGGACCGTTTCATACAATTGATGTATATTGTATTATAATTTTTTTTTTAAAATTTTTATTAAACTATTTTGGAGCCAGCTGGATGCTTCTGGCTTCAGTTTAATAATTAATATGTCACAATTCAGTTGGGATATTGTAATATAAATGATCATGAGTTCAAGTTAAAGATAGGGTACAGTCCGGTATGCGCATGCGCACATAGGAGTGTCCTGCCGTGATATAAGCACTTTAATTATGTTTATTTCATTTTATGTTCTTGCAAAGCCTGGTTGTTGTATCTTGATCATTTATTATACTGTAGAAGCATGAAAATATAAATAGTTGTCGAATAAAGTTCACTATATTTTGAATACCGAAATGTAAACAAAGGCTTTGTTTACATACGGACTGTACCCTACCTTCAATCTGGAGTTCGAGTTACGTTCGCCTCGAGTTTAACCTCAAGTTTCAAGCGGCCAAACAAAAATTATACGTAAATCCCAGACCCTACCCCAAACTCAAACTATCAGTTATCTCGGCTTGAACTCGGTTATAATTCGGCTTGAACTCGAGCTCATAAATTACATTTTGCTATACTTTTTGATTATAAAATAAAATGAAACAAATAAATGTCATGAGACCACTATAGTTGTCACAAGAGAACGGAGCACTTCTGCGTCATATTACAATATGTTTGTATAGCGGCTTCGTCGGGTTTATTAAAGGGTATTTTAATTTGAGATTTTTAATTTTAACTGATTCTGAAATATTTAGAGTAAATACAAAAACCAAACAATATAACCCGAATATATATAGAGGATATTACGCGGCAGCGCGAAGATATGACTTTTATATTCGAGTGGTGAAAACAATATTTTACGAACGAGCGCAGCGAGTGAGTAAAATATTTGTTTTTAACACGAGGAGGTAAACGTCATATCTTCAAGCCACCGTGTAATGTTCTGTTTATTATATATTATATAGTCCCAAGCAAAAATTGTGAAATTTCACGCTCAAAAGCAAATTGTCAAATTGTCACGTGATCGATATCTTCAAGTGAATTAAGATACGGAAAATATCTCGCTGTGTATTTTTCAGTTTCTCATTCTCTACTATATAATGATAATTCGTCTCCAAAAAGCTGATTTGTATTAATTCATTCAAAAAATAATTTCAATCGAAAATCCTCGTAATGTAATGCCCAATCCTGTGGCTTAGCTATGCTGTAAATTCGAAAAAGTAGTAGACGATTTGGACCAAGTACGTCTTCTCCGCACATATCTGCGATAAATGAAATTCCAGGCTGTTGTGGGTTTTAGATTCATGATGTCTCGCTGTTTGTGAATTCTGACCCTATATAATGATAATAATGCAGATCATACATGACTAACTGTTACGGCCCATTTCCACTCAAGAATTCCACGGAGAGAAAATTTTCCGAAAATATCATTTCCGACGGAAAATTTGTGTTGGTCAATCACATTTTATAAAATTTTCTGAGTCGAAATGGGCCTTTGAATATTATATATACACAACTTCAGGATATAAGCTATTCTGCAATCTGACTGGCTCTCTAGAAAAAACAAGATGGCGTCTAGCGAAAACAAGATGGCGACACGAAAACTACAAGCTTAGTTTTGAACAGGTGGGAAAATTGACTGAGCATGCCCGAAAACTGCTCGGGTTTTCAGCGGGAGAAGAAGATATAAAAAAAGACAAAAAGCTTCCACTTGGTTGATTTGAAAAACATAAACAACATGAACGAAGCCTTCGAAAGACAATATTAAATGCAGCGGCTGTTTAGGCCCACAAATCACCACAAAAATTGGATTCACTGACAAAAACGTTGCCGTAATACTCTGATTTCCTCTATTGCCACATTTTTTACAATGTAAACTATTAAAGTATTAATAACGATTATTTCATGCAGTGCAAAACAAAACAGAGCAAAAAATTTCCTTTTAATATGTCGCCTGATAGCTTCAATAAAATGTGAAATTCAAACCAAAAATGCTAAAAGTAAAACTTCTTAATTTTTTATAAAGCAAAGAAATTTAACTCCGACTTAAAAATGCTTTGAAATTTAATGTAAAACAGCGATATTTCGTTGAGACAACCTGTAACATGACAAAATTTGTGTTTATAGAATTTTGAACGAAGTGTCTATAATAGTAAATTGCCAGCTACTCTGTATCGAGACTATAGTTGCATATAAAAACTTTTGTTTGCGCTAGTTTTCACTGACCTTGCCGTTAGCGTATACGGGATTAAATTTAAACGGCGCGTGTCGTGTGAGGAAAATGAAACCATGCAGTCCGGGTCGGGGGATGTGTTTTGCCTGACTTTTTTCTTAACATTTTTTCTATAACTCTCAAAGGTTAGGTTAGGGGTTAGGGAAGAGGTTGGGAGTAGGGATTGGTTTATCTTATAAAAATTCAACTTCAAAAGTTTTTAGTCACTACGATATAGCTGGCAGTTTACTAAATAGCCGGCTGCCGGCTGTATAGACACTTCGAATTTTGAACGAGCGAAAATTGTGTTTAACTGAATAACACAAAGTTTACGCTTCAAAATGAGGGTCATAGAAAAATCTGATCTCTATATTTGAAAACCTAAAGATAATATTTTAAACTATTGTAAATAGCAAAATGCATGGCAAAATGTTTATTCTGATGCTCATTATCTGAGTCGCCTTTCTCCTCTTTTTCGTATAAATCACACTTGCACATGAAATTTGACAAAATTCAGTACTTTCTTCATTTTTTAGGCGAGTTTACATTAGCAAAAATTAGAAAGAAACGCACATCTTCTCACTTAATCACATTTCATTGGCACAACTTGTATATATGAGAACATTATTAAAAGGTGAAAAACAAGTAATTTTAGCAAAATACCTCACATACTGAAATTTGACGATGATCGTTGACGTTGGCGCACAGTATCACTCAAAAACCAAATATTTATACTTTGTCCTGGACAACAAACGCGTGACGCATGTACTGCAAATGTCAAATAATATTCCATCAATATTTAAGTTCCTGCTCGAGGTTATTGCCATAAAAAACATCGTAGTTACTAAAACATGGAACGAGCCACAACAACCCCACAACAATCCACAACAGCCAAGCCAAAATTAACTTGTTTGCTAATAGTTTGACAACGTGCATGTGTAACGTGTCTAGTCAATATGCAATTGTAAAGATAGATTGATATTTTGCGAATGTGCGACCAGATTTTCTTGAGCTCATCTCACATAATCCCAAAATCACAGTGGATCTCCGTTTGCAATAAACTCTAGTGCAAGTTTACGAACGATAAGTCCGTATATCAACATAAATAAAAAGCTTGAATTGGGTTTAAAATCTAGTGAGCATGTCAATATTACGTAACAATTCAGCTAAACGTAGGAAAATCATTGAAATTTTTCAAATATTGTATGTAAGTAGGTCAGAACGATACGTTGTCTGTTATAAAATTCTAGTGAATTAAAACTTAAAGGAAATTTTCTGTTTGAGGGAAAAAATATACTCATGATTGTCAACCATGGGAAAAAATTGTCTGAAATTTATTTATTATTTTATAATCTTCTTCCAATGTATATATTCATCAATTAATCGTCCTTTCCTAACAAAAAATAACTATAGTTCTCAAGATCCCCTACATTCTTTTTACATGAAGTACTCAGTTATAGAAAACCGCTGAGAAAAAAGATTATATAGCAAAAGTTTCATTAAGCAAGAAATCCAAATCAGCGCCTTCCCTGAAGCAATAAATTGAATAAACATGAACGAATTACGTTTCATTCAAAAGTACAAATAGAGACAATCAGGAGCAAAAAATATTGAGACAACCGCATAAATGCCCCCTCACCCCCAATTCAATGTAGTGCGAATGACTGAAAAGAGAAAATTCAACCCACTTTTTCCAACATTGATCATGGGGGCAGGGGGGAGGCCGACGTACTTTCAAATGGCCGAAAACATGAAAAGTCTCGTTATTTTTGCACGCGATTGTAGGAGGCTAAGTCGGTGGACACTCTCACAGACAACATCCCAAACATATATATCTTCACCTGAGTGCATAACACTAGAAACACAAAAAATTCTCGAAAATTCTTACTTAAAAGGGGGGACTTAACCTAAACTATATCAAAAATATCAATTTTTGTTTTTTTGAAAAATCGTCTACTTCAATTATCGTAGAATCTTGTTTCAATACTTTTTCTGTGAAATCTGCCCGGATTTTGCATCTGTTTAGCATTTGAACAACCATGCTAAAATTCATGAACTAGTTACCATGGTAACTCGAATTTTTTTTTACCATTTTCATTGTTTTTTGCATCTTTTTGACCAACAAAACTGTAAGGAATATAAACTAGCACATACACAGTGTATAACATGACGTTTTAGACTTGTTTGATGGGGCAGCAGGACCTGATGGGATACATCTAAAAATTATTCATGAGTTTGTAAATTTTATAATATTATTGCTCGTATTATTGAGACAAAGTTTTTCACATTTCGTGCCTGGAAAAAGGAAAAGATCTGTTTACAGAAAGTCGAAGAAAGGAAGGCAGTTTACTGGACTTCAAAGATATGCAAACAAAACGAAGAAACAAGAAAATGTACTACACCGTTTGTTACTCATGACGATAAAACGAGCTACCACTGTGAATTACGCATCAGATTCAACATGATATTCAACATGATATTCGATATAGTGTGAACTCACTTCATTTCAATCACTCAGAAGTAAAAATGAAAAATATAGCCATTTCTTCACTTCCAAATGAATTAGAAAGAAATAAATCATATAGTTCGTATTAACTAATTAATACCCTTATGTTTTATTGCATCAAACCAATAAACGCGCATCAAAGCAGTCCAAAAAGACATTTTACTAACAATAACCACAGGTGCCAAATACAGCCTGTACTAAAAAGGGCCTCGGGTTTCAAGGCCCTTGTAGCAGAGACTTGAATTTGGGCCAGCCTGAAAGTTGTACTTCTGGAATCTACGATCCATAAGCTTTCTGTCGATGCCTCATTCGTGCATCACTAGGCCGGAGGTGGAGATAAAAAGCAGTTTTTTCCAGCTCTGTAATCGAAAAAAACGTGAAAGTTAATCTTACATAAGTGAGGGTTAGACTTTGGCTGTTTCGAATCTGATGTTCCATTGAATTTCCAGGTCCCTGTAGCGAAAACGTAAATTTACGCCGGTCTGAAAATTGTTTTTTTAGAATCTACAATCCATAGGATTTCTGTCGATGCCTTACTCGTGCATCAAAAGACAGTCCATGAAGATACAACCCATTTTATACCAGGTGCATAATCGAAAAAGACGCGAAAGTTAGTATTATGCTGTTTTGAACCTTGCGTTCTATTGAATTTCAAGGCCTCTGCAGCAGAAACTGGAATATGTCACCGTCTGAAAATTGTATTTTTGGAATCTATGGTCCATAAGCTTTCTATCGATGCCTTATTCGTGTATCACTAAACAGTCCATGAAGATAAAAAGCAGGTTATTCCAGGTGCATAATCGAAAAAGACGTGAAAGTTAATATTATGCGATTTCGAACCTGATGTTCTATCGAATTTCAAGACCCTTGTAGCAGAGACTTGAATTTGGGCCAGCTTGAAAGTTATATTTCTAGAATCTACGATCCATAAGCTTTCTGTCGATGCCTCATTCGTGCATCACTAGGACGGATGTGGAGATAAAAAGCAGTTTTTTCCAGCTGACAGCTGTGTAATCGAAAAAGACGTGAAAGTTAATATTACATAAGTGAGGGTTAGGGTTTGGCTGTTTCGAATCTGATGTTCTATTGAATTTCCAGATCCCTGTAGCGGAAACGTAAATTTACGCCGGTCTGAAAATTGTATTTTTTGAATCTACGGTCCATAGGCTTTCTGTCGGTGCCTTACTCGTGCATGAAAAGACAGTCCATGAAGATACAAACCAGGTTATTCCAGGTGCATAATCGAAAAAGACGTGAAAGTTAATATTATGCTGTTTTGAACCTTGCGTTCTATTGAATTTCAAGGCCTCTGCAGCAGAAACTGGAATTTGTCACGGTCTGAAAATTGCGTTTTTGGAATCTACGGTCCACAAGCTTTCTATTGATGCCTTATTCGTGTATCACTAGACAGTCCATGAAGATAAAAAGCAGGTTATTCCAGGTGCATAATCGAAAAAGACGTGAAAGTTAATATTATGCGGTTTCGAACCTGATGTTCTATCGAATTTCGAGGCCCTTGTAGCAGAGACTTGAATTTGGGCCAGCGTGAAAGTTGTATTTCCAGAATCTACCATCCATAAGCTTTCTGTCGATGCCTCATTCGTGCATCACTAGACCGGAGGTGGAGATAAAAAGCAGCGTTTTCCAGCTGTGTAATCGAAAAAGACGTGAAAGTTAATATTTCATAAGTGAGGGTTAGGGTTTGGCTGTTTCGACTCTGATGTTCTATTGAATTTCCAGATCCCTGTAGCGGAAACGTAAATTTATGCCGGTGTCCCAGGATTTTCGCCCCCCCCACAATTTCGCCCCCCGGGGGGCGAAATTCCTAGGAATTTCGCCCCCCCCCCAGGGGGGCGAAAATCCTAGGTATTTCGCCCCCCTTTAGGATATTCGCCCCCCTTTAGAAACTTCACCTTTTCTTTAGGATTTTCGTCCTCCGTTCAAAATTTCGCCCTTCCTAACAGTTGCATGGGATAATTATTACATGTCTTTAATATTTGAAATCAGCATCAATTCAAAATTGTTAAGACAGAGCTTGAAATAACAACCGAACAATGATCGGCTTGGAATTGCTTATGATCGGCGGAAAAGCAGGATTTCGGTTTCCAACCTGGACAAACAGGGGAAGTCATGACTGCCGATCACCATGATCGGGAACTTTGGGAACGTTATTTCGAGCCCTGTAAGAATACAAATTTACAATTCACATGTATCGAAAGGGCTTTAACAGTTACAGTAGATCAATACTCAATAGGACTTATGACGCTTCACAGCACACCATGCATGTTTTGCATTTTCAGTGTTAATCCTTAAACTCATTGTTAAAAAGTAATCACCGTGGTGGTTATTGTAATTATTGGTATTGTCAAAACTTTTTTTTTTTAACTGATACATGCATAAACTAGCTATATAGTATATTTTTCTTTATAATCAAACCGTTTAGTTTCATCATAAAGAGAACTAAAAATCTACTTTTTTCTAGACTATAGTCTATACCGATGCCGCAGTATGATTTCGTTGCTGATTTCATATATTGGACGATGACAAGAAATGGGTGCGCAGAAATCCAGATATCTGACCAAGGCCGTGAATTTGTTAACCAAGTTAGTGAAGAGCTGCATCAAAGAACAGGTACTGTATGCGGTAGCTAGTAACCTAGTACACCAGGAGGTATAGGACACTATTATTTTCATGGGTTGTAATATCGACGTCTATATATCTAACTAATATTACAGGGACAGAGCATCGAATAACATCTGCGTACCATCCTCAAAGTAATGGCCTGGATGAACGTTTTAATCAGACCATCCAACGAGCACTACGTAAGGCGGTCAACGAAAAACAAGACAACTGGGACGAGGCCATTGACGATATCTTGTTCGCCTATCGCACCTCGGTCCAAGCAACAACGAAGCATACACCATTCTACTTGATGTTTGGACGCGAAGCACGTCTTCCAATACAGATGGAAATTGTACCAGAAGGCAAGGAACGGACGTTGGAAGAAAGATTAGAAGAACTTGCAGACCTTCGCAAGTCATACGGTAAAGTGGCAGATAACATTAAAGAAAGCCAAGACAAACAGAAGAAGCTATACGACGCAAAGCATGGCGCATCTAAGCAGGTAAAACACTAGAGATAAATTTGAGGTAACTGGGTAATTTGTCCCTGCATGCATATACCGTAGAATAAGCAATTTTTTATTATAATTTATAATGTTCATAATTTTTTTTTACATTTGTAGGAATTTAAACAAGGATCACTTGTGCTGCTGAGAAACAGTAGAAACGATTCGCGTAAAGGAGGGAAATTGGATGCCAAGTGGCTAGGACCCTATGAAGTTGTCGATTGTTTAGGAAAAAATGTTTTCAAAATTAAGGTTTGTCCATGCATGCATGCGATTTCCATACATGGATTAGAATTGATGTTGAAATTATAGAATGTTTTTTCCTTATTAGAACTGTTCAACAGGCATTGAGAACAAGAAGAAAGTTAACGCAGCAGTGCTCAAGCCATATGTACCAAGCACCCAGCAGATCCAACCGCAGAAGGATTTTGCCAGACCAGAGTTTAAAGCGGGTGAAGTGCAGACAAAGCAGACTCAACCTCAGAAAGTTCCTTGCAGACAACCATTTGAAGGTAGCTAATGACTAAATAATGTATAATTATAAGTAGTAACACATGGAATTAGGAGTATTATAGCTATATAATATCATTATATTATTGAAATTTGGCTTCTTTTAGTCTTGGTGGGACACTATTGTACGAGATTATTTTTGCTGCAATTTTGCGATAACATTTCGGAAAATAAAATATGTTATTGTTAAAGTCAAAGTTAAGTGTTTCATTTTCAGTTCAGCCTTTCGTTACATGGGTCCGATACCATTAATGTCATATGTATCTTGAAGTTGAACTTACTAGTATTTTTTCTCCTTCATAAAATTAAAGAAACGTCTGGCGAATATTGGATCAAAGAACTCAGTTTAAAGAACGAAGAGAAGACGATACTAAAATCTCCAAGAATGCTGAATGATCGTCATATGAACGCTGCGCGAAAACTATTGAAGAAGAAGTTTCCACATATCAGTGGCTTACAGGACACCATCTTATCCCAAACCTCGTTCGTGACTACACAGGATGAAGGAATACAAATCCATAACACTGGAGCATACCATTGGATTACATCGTCATCAAAGGTATATATATATATATTTATAATATAGCATTTGTAAGTTCTGAACGCTGATTGGCTAAGAACCGTGTTGATACAACTCAATGTCAACACGGAAAAATGTCTTTCTTTATATTTTTTTTTGTGCTATATTATAAAAAAATATAAAACATTTTCCGTATTGATATACAGTTATATCAACACTCGTGGAAATTGGGAAAACTCGAACACAATTTCGAGTTTTCCCAATTCCCACTCGTGTTGATATAACTATATATCAACACGGAAAATATTTTATATTTGTTAAATATTAATATAATATAGTTCTAGGCATGCATGTTCAATGGCTCTATACGTGTATATTAATATATACACCGTCAAACCCGCAGGCATATAGGCGCTGAATATAGTGGCTTTTCGATTGGATAAATTTAACCTAAATTTGTATGTTGTTGACATTGACAGGCGGTTATGTTAAAGTTTGCGATAGCCTCTACGATGACCTGGCAGGGTCAACCAAAGTTCAACTAGCACAATGTTACCAAACTTTAATTGACGAGTTCGGACGTTTGGAAGTGGATATCCCACCTGTTCAAACCCAGACAGGATCAGTCGACTGTGGTTTGTTTGCTATCGCCTTCGCGTACGAATTAGCAGTTGGAAACTTCCCAGTACACGAGGTACGCTTTGACCAAAAGAAAATGAGGAGCCATCTTCTCGCCTGTTTTGAGAAGCGAGAATTGACCCACTTCCCCCAAGTACGTCGACAGCCAGCAACACAGCCAAGACAACACAACAGCGTCACAATCGCGACATTATGTGAATGTAAATTGCCAGAAGAATACGACAACATGATTTCATGCGATCTCTGCGGGAAATGGTTCCACTTTGGATGCGTGGAATATGACATTAGTATAAGTACTTCAAATGAGTGGTTATGCCGACTATGCACACCACCAGCTGCTAAGAAGCCTAAACTGTGTATGTAATTAGTTTTGTCCTTGTAATAAATAAATAAATCACACAATAAATCTTTTCAACTTGCAATCGTTTTGTTTTTAGATCAAAAATTCAAAATTTATATGGGGGGGGCGAATATCCTAAAGGGGGGCGATATTCCTAGGAGATTCGCCCCCCTGGGGGGCGATATTCCTAGGAGATTCGCCCCGGGGGGAGGGCGAATATCCTAGGAATATCGCCCCCCTTTTGAGAGGGGGGGGCGAATCTCCTGGGGGGGGGCGAAAATCCTGTGACACCGGTCTGAAAATTCTATTTTTTGAATCTACGGTCCATAGGCTTTCTGTGGATGCCTTACTCGTGCATGAGAAGACAGTCCATGAAGATACAAACCAGGTTATTCCAGGTGCATAATCGAAAAAGACGTGAAAGTTAATATTATGCTGTTTTGAACCTTGCGTTCTATTGAATTTCAAGGCCTCTGCAGCAGAAACTGGAATTTGTCACGGCCTGAAAATTGTGTTTTTGGAATCTACGGTCCATAAGCTTTCTATTGATGCCTTATTCGTGTATCACTAGACTGTCCATGAAGATAAAAAGCAGGTTATTCCAGGTGCATAATCGAAAAAGACGTGAAAGTTAATATTATGCGGTTTCGAACCTCATGTTCTATCGAATTTCAAGGCCCTTGTAGCAGAGACTTGAATTTGGGGCAGCCTGAAAGTTCTATTTCTGGAGTCTACCAGCCATAGGCTTTCTGTCGATGCCTCATTCCTGCATCACGCTGCCGTACGTGGAGATAAAAAGCGGTTTTTTTCAGCTGTTTAATCGAAAAAGACGTGACAGTTAATATAATGCAATTTCGAACCTTATGTTCTATTGAATTTGAACGCTCGCGTGTAGAAGAAGCTTCAACTTGGACCAGTCTGAAAATTGTATTTTTAGAATCTACGGTCCATAGGCTTTCTGTCGATGCCTCATTCGTTTATCAAGACATTAGACGTCATCACTAGACGATAAAAAACTGGTTTTTACAGCTGCGTATCTAATCGAACAAGTCGTGAAAGTTAATACAATTATATTCGAAACTTTCCCGAGGGCCCCCTATACTTTTTGCGTGAAGCGTGAAGGGCTTGTTTTACTTAGCCGTGAAACGTGATCAGGCCCCCTATACTTTTTGCGTGAAGCGTGAAGCCACTGAAGGGCTTATTTTACTTAGCCGTGAAACGTGATCGATGATTTTCTTAATCCGTGACTCGTGAAAAGGCAAAATATTTTTACGTGAAAGCATATTGTGAAGAGGTATAGGGGGCCCTCTTTCCCTGCACAAAATGATTCCGACACAACCAGGAACCGAACCTAGCTTCTCACACGTGCAACACTTCGTCCTTACCGTTAGACCGCCTCGCCAACACTTGCTTTAACTCCTTTTTTATTCTACTTAACTCTTTCTCGTCTCGGGTGGAATTAATTAACGACGACGCCAGCATTAAAAGGAATCGATCCTGGTTTCAAGCACTGGCAACACTTTGTCTTTACCACTAGACCATCTCTCCTACACTTGCTTTAATACCTTTTTTATTCTACTTAACTCTTTCTCGTCTCGGGCACAACCTGGAATCGCCTTTTGACACAACCAGGAATCGATCCTGGCTTCACGCACTTGCAACACTTTGTCTTTACCACTAGACCATCTTGCCTACACTTGCTATAACACCTTTTTTATTCTACCTCGCTCCTTCTCGTCTCGGGTGGAATTTTTTAATTTTTTAAAATAAAATTTGGTGACGAAGGACTATGTAGATATAAGTATAGTAACCACCACTGAATAGTTCTGCTAGTCGAGTGGTAGTCTGCTGGTGTTGGATGAGAAAGAAGTACGGATCGATCCTTGCTGTTGTCAAAATCATTTTAATTGATTCCACCCAAGACGAGAAAGAGTTATGTAGAATAAAAAAGGTGTTGAAGCAAGTGTAGTCGAGATGGACTAGTGGTAAAGACAAAGTGTTGCAAGTGTCCTAAGCCAGGATCGATTCCTGCTGTAGTCAAAAAGCCATGATTGTTTTTGTTAATTACTTCCACCCGAGACGAGAAAGAGTTAAGTAGAATAAAAAAGGAGTTAAAGCAAGTGTAGGCGAGGTGGTCTAGTGGTAAAGACAAAGTGTTGCAAGTGCGTAAAGCCAGGATCGATTCCTGGTTGTGTCAAAAGCATTTTAATGTCAGGCATGGTTGTTAATTAATTCCACCCGAGACGAGAAAGAGTTAAGTAGAATAAAAAAGGTGATAAAGCAAGTGTAGGCGAGATGGTCTAGTAGTAAAGACAAAGTGTTGCAAGTGCGTGAAGCCAGGATCGATTCCTGGTTGTGTCAAAAGCATTTCAATGTCAGGCATGGTTGTTAATTAATTCCACCCGAGACGAGAAAGAGTTAAGTAGAATAAAAATGAAGTTAAAGCAAGTGATGGCGAGATGGTCTAGCGGTAAAGACAAAGTGATGCAAGTGCGTGAAGCCAGGATCGATTCCTGGTTGTGTCACAAGCATTTTAATGTCAGGCATGGTTGTTAATTATAATAATAATAATAATAAAAATAATGGTATTTTAATAACACATCATCGCATGAAAATGAATTACAATGTGTTTTACAATTGATTTGAATGGGAATTACAATACTAAAAGTAACTATATTACAATGTATCATTAGATTATTAAATAAGAACTTATAACTAAGAACAATTATTTGTTTAAAACACTAATCATGCTAGGGAAAAAACTATTACCAAATATATCAGTTCTACATTTAAAAGAAGCGAATTGTTTAAAATTCCTTAAATTATACACATGTTCGTTCTCACTGGTGAGAGTTAGATGGGAAGAAAGACGACTGCCCAATGCAATATTTTTCATCGTCTTTTCGCAAAGTTCACCTCGACGTATATCCAGCCTAGGACACTGCAACATTTCTTGCGCTTCACCGTAGGATCGACCTGGCAGTATAATCCTCAGTGCACGTTTTTGAATTTTTTCGACTTGTTCAGACAGATACATAGGTAGACCACAATGCCATACTGTACAACAATATTCTAATGTAGATCTAATCAATGCATAATAAATTGTGATAAGGTCGTGCGGTGGAATCCCTCCCCGTCGTAGGACACGTAGGATATGCAGTCGCTTGGATGCTTTGGTAACAATCACCGAAATATGTTCGTTCCACTTAAGGTCATCCTGGATAATCAATCCAAGAACCTTGTGCGACGATACACATTCTAAGATCTGGTCTTCAACACACAAGTGTGGTAGTTCAGGTTTGTTCCGAAAGAAACAAATTTGCATCTCTTTGCATTTCTTTGCGTTCAATTTCATCAGGTTATTAGATGCCCATGTAGCTATAGAAGTTAGATCAGACTGGATTACAGACGGTTCCCCATTCCTTAATAATCCCTCAGAGATAGTAACATCATCAACGAATTTCCAATTGCTAAGCCTCCCCGAACCGCATTGTAAATCAGTGACCATAATTAAGAACAGGATCGGACCCAACTTCGTACCTTGGGGGACACCGGCTGTGACAGGAAGCCAACAAGAAACAGCTTCCGCAAGTTTGACCCGCTGTCTTCGCCCTGATAGAAAGTTTACGATTCATGGTATTAACGATCGCCTAACGCCAATATCAACAAGTTTTTGGATAAGAATGTTATGGCCAATACGGTCGAAGGCCTTTGAAAAATCCAAAAAGCATATGCGAAGAAAATGACCAGTTGAATCTAAATGAGAAAGCCAACAATGCAACATGTTGAGCAAGCAATAGGTCGTGGATGAACCCTTTAAAGAACCGAACTGTTGTGCGTCAATATTATTCCTAACGTCAGAGATCATCCATCTAACGACAAAATCTTCGAGAACTTTAGAAAGGCATGGCGTTAGTGAAATGGGTCTTGTGTCACCCTCGTCAGTTGGTTGTTTAACTTTTGGAATGGGAGTAATATGTGAGTCTTTCCATATATTTGGAACAATCCCGGATGCAAGTGACATATTGAAGATTTTCGCAACTGGTTCAGCGAAAAGGTGCGCAAATTCCTTCAAAAGGCGACCTGGAATATTATCAGGACCACATGTTTTGGAGGCATTAACGACCAATAATTTCTCACAGACTTCGTGCGGTTCGATGTAAGGCACTTGATCAACAGCAGGTAAGTATGCTGGTAACGTGGTTATATCTAGTGGTGGAATGTCTGCGTTAACCGAGATGTAAAACTTGTTCAAGTTATTGGCCAGTTCTAAATCTGATAATAATTCACCTTCCTTTTCAAAGGTAAGTTTAGTACACTTCTGAGATCGGCCAGACAACTTATTTACGACTTGCCACCACTTTCGGCAATCGTCTTTCTTAAGATGTTGTACTTTAGTTTTGTAATATTCTTTCTTTCTTACGGCTATTTCGGTCTGGACCTTATATTTCAAAGTTCTCCACTGCAGAACATCTCCACCATGGAAAGCTCTTTGACGGTCATTAATGAGTTTTTTGATAGACACAGACATCCATGGTTTATCGGAATGGCAAAACCTAACAGATTTCAGGGGAATAAGACTGTCAAATGCTGTAGATACTTGGGATGAGAAGGAATTAGCTAGGTCATCTACGGAAGGGCTTGGACCCAGATTACTGAACCATTGATGCGTGCTGGCCCATCGGCCGAAAGAATTCAAGGCGGATAGCGGCGTATAAGACGCTTAATCGGTTTAGGTTTGGTAATAGCATCAACTTTATTAGGAACCCATCGTACTATATTATGGTCAGCAGACCGATATAACTATATAATAATACGGAAAAAATGTTTTATATTTGTTTTATAATATAGCACAAATAAACATAAAGAAAGAAATTTTCCGACGTTTCCGTGTTGACATTGAGTTATATCAACACGGCTCTTGGCCAATCAGGGTTCAGAATTTACAAATGCTATATTATAATCTTCAATGATCTTTGATTCTCTCCCCCCCCAGATTTGATTTCTTTCCTTATATCTTTGTCACATCGTCCTGTATCTAATAGTATCTCTGCTCCCAAAATAAATAAAAAATAATTAAATAAAATAACTAAAATAAGCAAACTATTTATTAAATTTGCGATCCGCAGTAAAGCTTTTCATATTTACTTAAAAAGGAAATTTCCTTTTGAAAGAATATTTTGACAAAATTATGGAAAATTGAACTGTAAGTAATTCTTACACTTCATACAGGTTTACATCTTACGACAGTTTACCTGGAAATTTAGCTGCACAGAACATGCCAACAACAGGATTAGCAACAGCGTTGTCCTTTTCTCCGAGATCTGAATACACTTCACTGAGTTCAGTCATAATCTTCTCTAAAACCTCTTTATTCTTGACCAGATGAAGATAGAACATGTTAGGATTCTCACAATGAGATCCACACACGTCCAGCTGGGCTCCTGGCGTAATATTGTACACGCTTAAGAAATCTGTGAAAAGATGAATAGAAAATAGAGCAGTTAGCGTTAGTAAGGGAGTTTTGTGACTAGACTTGCTAATCAGATTCCAAGAAATGACTTGTTACCAAAGCAAATCAAACGTAAAGTTGTAAATATCGAGTGAAAATTAACGTTTCTACAAATTGCACTGGAAATTCATGGATAGTGCAGCCAGATTGGCATATCACATTACACAGTACACTACGAACGCACAAGTTGTAACAAACCTGGAGCAGACTTGTAACAATGCTGTTCCAACAATTTGTCAACAGGATGTGTTCGCACTGCTTGTTACTTGCTACAAGGTTGCTGAGCTCAACAGGTTTGTTACAAGTTGTTCCTACAACTTGTTATCGTTTTATTTGTAGGGCCCCGCATTTTAGTACTGTGTCTGATTGCATACACGTTTCGACACTTTTTGTTGAAACCACACTGAATTATGAGCACAGTATATGACAATTAATTTCAACCACGTTTTAAGACTACGTCTACGAAAAACCCTTGCTACAGAGGACAGCCGGGATGGAAAGGTTACTTTCTGGTGAGGGATTTAGACTCTGCCTTACCTCAGACGCACACCTACCTTTTAGGGTTTGACTAGCTTGTGGTTTACCAGCATCCTGCACAGAACCAAACAGTCTGTTACCATTCATTTCATAAGCCTCCACATCATAAACACCATTGCTCTTTTTGTCACAAACTCGCACCATTAACTCTTTTCCATCGATAGCCTCTCTTACTTTCTCCGCACCCTCCGAAACACCTCCGACCAAACTCGCTTGAAAGCCTTGGACATTCGTTTCAGCAAAACATGGTAGCAATCGCTTCACCCTCGATACAGGAAGTTCTTCAGTGTTACCATAATCCAGGTATTTCACCTCCACGGTATTTCCAGAAACTTTGGTGATTACAGCGCGGTACCATCCATCATCTTCTGTAAACATTGAACAACACGTGTCGCCGATTTGCGGGTTGGTCATGCGCTCTTCAGCATCACCCAAGGGACGGTAGTATTCTTCGAGTTTGTCCATCAGCTCATCCAGTTGTGTCGTGGTTTTCACAAGCTGACAGAAGAAATTTTCAGGACTTGTAAAGAACGAGACGAAGACATGTTCCTTGCTTCCATTTGTGATTTGCGCTTCCTTCACTTGGCAAACGCCAGCTGAGAATAAAGAAAAGTATTTCGCTCAGAAATTGACTTACTCGTTACCACGGGTGGAAAAAAGCATCGGACCAAAATTTTTTGAGGGCCCAGAAAAAAATTTTGGAGTTCCCAGAAAATATTTCCCCAAGAAAGAAAAAAAGGATAATTGTAATATATTAGATAAAAGGAGAAATTCAAAAGGCAAAATACTAACCAATAGAAAGAATGTCACTTGTACTGTAGTTATGAGCTCAGAAATGCAATTAGAAGTGCAGCCATCTTAATAGTGTGATACTGTATAAATGTATAGACTATAGATTGATGTAACAAATGTTGTATGGCAAATGCATTTTTAGCCAATCAGGGATACCTAAAATACAAAACAATAGATACTCCGAAAATTGAAAGCATTTTGAAAAATTTATTTCAAAAAAATAAATAAATTAATAAAATAAAATGAAAAAAAATCAAATAAATTTTATTAAAGAAATAAATTTTTCAAAATGCTTTCAATTTTCGGAGTATCTATTGTTTTGTATTTTATCAGAATACTCAGTGGTTCCCGTAATTTCTGGGATACCTAATTTTCAAGGTATCAAGGGAGCATGGAGTCCCCTGACAGTGCCCTTTTCGGTATCTGTATTTATACCTTAGTATCAGATCTTATATAAAATAGTTTTATGTTATAAGTGTTATTAAGATTCTCAGTGTATTGAAATAATTTTTTCCTGTTAAAATATAGCATGACGACCAGTTTGACAACTTGTTAGTGTCACACAGTTACAGTGCCCGGGTGTTGACTTATTTGATTATTCGCAAAAAAATTCTCAATGTTCTCTTGCGGTCCCAGAAAGCAAAATATTTTTTCATCCCTGGATTCAAAATGTATTCAATCAGCCGTAGATCGTCAAGCCTAGCGAAGCATACTGTGATCTAGTATTCCAACACCTTGTAGCACAAGCACAACAAGTAACGTACCATTTTAATTTTTTTACTTACCCTCTTTCTTATCAACCTTACTTCCAAACATCTTTGCACCATGAGCGGTAAAGAGCTCGACTTCATATACATTGCTTCCATTTCCCCCTATTATTTTCGCATCAAATTCCTTCTCCAACACGCTGTCTTTAAACGAAGAAGCATCGACACCAGTTGGGATTTTTACACAAGCATGAAAACCTTGGACAGGTAAAGTTGCGAATTTCTGATGCAAGATCTTTATTCTGGATTGCGGAATGGTTTCAGAGTTGCCGTAGTCCATGTAGCATACATCTAAAGCTGTTCCTGAATGCTTGTTCACCGTCGCACGATAGAACCCATCATCTACCGTAAACATAGCACAACATGACTCGCCAATCTAGCAGGAATAGAAATCGATTATAATGAGATTTTCATAAAGGGCAGTATATACTATATGGCTAATATTGAACTGCCTATATCATTGTAGGTAATGGCAATGATAACAAGCTTTCGTTGGCGGGGATAAAACTACCTGAAAAATATAAGGAGAATTTCGACTTTTTCTAATATATAAAGCTTGCCGCACATGAGAGAAACTCACTGAGCTAACGTCTCGCGTGGCGTCTAGTTCAGCGTGTTTCCCTCGTGTGCAGATAGTTTTCGTGAGGACTTAACGTCTCGATGCCTTGAGGAAACTATCTATCGTGTTTGATATTTTTCACCTCTGACGCATGATTCTTTCAAGGTACACAAGACATTTCCTTCATGGGTAAAACTAATTTAAACACACGACGATTCGATTTCGACAGTGTTTGAAGATTCCGAAACCCTTTCTCATTATCAATATTACGGCGTCAAATGTGGCTTATTAAATCCAAGAGTATGTTTTATCGAGTCGTAGTTCTTAAATCAGCAGTGAAAACTACCCCTCAGCTAAAAGAGCATGGCCAGCCTATGAAATCCCGGCTCTCTATTTACCTGTGGGTTAGTGTAGGCTTTCTCTTGCTTGCCAAGTGGACGATAATACTCTTCCATCTCGTTCATCAAGTCATCAAGTTGAGCAGACGTCTCCGTAAGTTGACAGAAGAAATCATCAGGACTTGTTACAGATGTTATAAACACCGGCAATTTCTTGCCAACCGGAACTTTTGCCTCGCTCACTTTACATGGAACGCTTTTAGATGTTCCTATAGAAAATAACGGAAACCCATGGAGTCTTGCACACGTACATATCTCACATCTTGTACACACATAAAAACGCACAAGTTGTTACAGGTCTTCAAATAAGTTGCTAAAAGTCTGTTCGCAAGCTGTCGACAAGTTGTGTTCGCACTGCTTGTTCCCAGTCGTTGTAACAAGTTTGAAACAAGCTGTTAACAACTTGTAACAAGCTTGATGGCATTATCAGACTTGTTACAATGTTGTTCTACCAAGTCTGATACAGTCATGATATAACAAGAATGTTACAAGGTTGGCGAAACAAGGTTGTAACAATATTGTTATATCATGACTGCATCGGACTTGTTGGAACAACCTTGCAACAAAGTCTGATAGTATCAACGAGGTTGTTACGAATTGTTAACAGCTTGTTCAAACTCTTCGACAACTTGGGACAAGCAGTGCGAACACAACTTGTTGATGGCTTGTTAGCAAGAGTTGCTACAAGATGTGACATTTTTACATGTGTAGCCAGTCTGCCAACAAGCCGTCAACAACGTTTTCAACAAGTATGGAACAACTTGCTAACAGTTGTAACAACCTTGATGATATTATCAGACTTGTCGCAAGGTTGTTCCAACAAGTCTGACACGGTCATGATATAACAATATTGTTACAACCTTGTGTCGTCAACCTTGTAGCATTCTTGTTATATCATGACTGTATCAGATTTGTTAGAACAACCTTGTAACAAGTCTGATAATGCCATCCAATTTGTTAACAGCTTGTTCCAAACTTGTTACAACAACTGGGAACAAGCAGTGCGAATAGGCGATTGACTTGGGGAAAATTCTAAAGATTTTAGAAGATATTCAAGTTTTTTCTCCAAATGAAATACAGAATATTTGGCGAAGGGTTAGTAGATGAACGATTGTTTTGGTTTGTGTGGTGTTTTGACGGCATTCAAACCCCCCTTTGAAAACATTATTTTGTGAGGATTTCAATAGTGTTTGTCGTTTTGATCAAAATCCATCACCACAGCTAGAAAGAGCATGTTAAAATTAGTGAAATTGCAAAGTTTGAATGTGGTGCATTTTCCCGTGCGTAATACAAATTGATACAAAATTTGCAAATTTCGTAGGGCTATATTTTCCACATTTTACAACATTTTGCGGCCAAACTTTGCAATTTTATTAATTTTAATTTTTAACATGCTCTTTTTAGCTGTGGTGATGGATTTTGTTATCGAAATATATCAAATTTTGGCCTGTTGAAAAAGATGTAAACTAATTACATACCTTGTTCTTGTGGTTGTGTCGCGGCTCCAGACGAGAACAGAGGAGTTCCATTGGAATCAGACAATTGAACAACATACACACCATTTTCATCTTTTCTAACAATCTTCGCTTTCAATTCCTTGTCAGCCACTGTTTCTTCAAACTCTCCAGTTGTTCCGCAACTGGAAGAGAACGACTTCGCATTGAAAGATTGTGCAGGCAACTCGGTGAATGACGCGTTAAGATTTTTAATCCGAATCAGCGGCAGCTCTTCACAGTTGCCGTAGTCGAGGTAACGAACACCAATGCTACTCGAGGAAACCGCCGTAACAACAGCTCTATAGAAACCCTCGTCCTCAGTAAACATGGCGCAGCATACGTCGCCGACTTCAGGGTTAGTAAACGTCTCTTCGTCGACAGCCAAGGGGCGGTAGAATGCCTCCATGTTGTCCATAAGGTGATCTAGCAAGGCGGACGTTGTTGCAAGTTGACAGTAGAAGTTCTCGGGAGTGTTGACACATGTGACGTAGACAGACTCTTCTTTGCCAATCGTAATGTCCAGTGCAGCAACTTTAGGGGCATTCTTCACGGCAGGTTCTACAAATTGAACAATGCAAGAAAAGTAACGATAGATGATCTGTCAAAAAATAAACATTGCAGGCCAGAAGCTCAACATATCCAAAACAAAGTAACATTGATGGCGAATTTAAAATAGTTGGGCGTCGTTGCTCTAATAAAAGAGACCATACGATTTTAAGACGGCAACGCGACGGCAACGGCTACCAATACAATAGATCATTGAAAAGAATTGAGTAATTACAATATATGAATAATTTAGACATTCTCCTCGCTCTGTTCACAACGCTAAATCACAGGGGCCGGTTGTACAAAACTCGTAATCACTTTTTTATACAACTGGCCCCAGATTTTCACGTCTTGATACAACGGCTGCATGCCAAGCCACAACAAGTGCAACGTCAAACTGGGTTTAGCAGAACTCGTCCCAACCATAAAACCCATGTCTTCAACTTCTAAAACTAGTGCTGTGCAAACTCCGGTTTTTCATCTCCGGCTCCGGCCGAATTACAGCTCTGAGCTCCGGCTCCGGCCACATCATAAAATATTAAATAAATGTTTTACGATCAGAGAACATTTATTAATATTATTACGAATAACCCTTTTCGCGCTTCCTAATTATCAGATAACATAACTCAGGAAACAAAACAGTGAAAACACTTAACCACGCAGAAAATATCTATATGGAAACCAGCCTCGAAAAATCTTTGACACGAGGCATGACGCGAGGCATGACGCTAAAGGTACGTTTACACGCTGCGATTTGTCGGGCCGATTTTGCTCGCTGTATGTAAATAAACTGTCGTGAGTACTCGCGTCAGCACCTTGCGATTCACAAAATCGGGAGAAAAATCTGTAACAATTCACAGATTTTTCTCACGATTCAACGATTTTTCTTCGGTTGTAAAGTTGTTGAAAACTTTTCGCACGCAGATAACTATAATATAAACAGACGAGAGAGCGGACAGCCTCAATTGAACGTTTAATTAAATCGCTAAATGTCGAAGAAGGGGCATCGATTATTTACCAAAATCGGCCCGACAAATCGCAGCGTGTAAACGTAGCTTAACACTCTCAGCCTCCACAGCGCAATTGTTCGCACGCAAACAAAGTACTCTGTCATTTTCAAAAGGTTGATATTTATTTGTTTTGTACTTTTTCGTTATCTACAAGGCATGAATACACAGACTACAGTATGTAGCGCTAAGTCAGATAGCTTCATGAAAGCATGACGTTTGTAAGTTGCGATCGTATTACAGCTTTTCGACGCTGTTCCTGTGGCAGTTTGAGTCTATGATGAATTCATTAACAGCAATTGGCAGTTTGCAGTAACTAACAATCGTTTGACATTTGTCTCATTTCATATTGTTTTCTTGTCATTTTGCCGGAGCTGGGAAAACGTAACTCCGGCTCCGGGCTCCGGCATACAAAATTCTGCTCCGGCTCCGGCATTGGAAAAACCGCCGGGGCTCCGGCAACTCCGGCGCACAGCACTATCTAAAACTGTATTAAATTCATAGATTAATAATATACGACGAACTATCTTTACTACCATTTATTTGAAGGAGTTTGTTTTGGCCGTCGCCGTCGCGTTGCCGTCCTAAAATCGTAAGGTCTCTAAAGTTTGAAATAACGATAGGCTGAGATGACTCGAATCGGGAGTATAATATTACTTCAGCCTTTCGGCATTAACTATACAAAAGGACTAGAGATTACACTGCTCAAGGTGCATGCTGTCGGTTTTCCACTGGATTGGAGATTAAAATTTTGAGCAGTATCTTCTTTCTAACACTTCGCTCGAAACGTCGAAATTCTCCTTGTATTTTTCAGGTAGTTGTAAAACAAAGAAGTTTCAAGAGGTACGCCAAAAGATGTTCGGCTTTGAACATTTTTTATCGCAAATAAGCCACATTGAAAAAATAGCCTCTTAAAGGCACAGTTCAGCCTTTTGAACGATAGTTTTTAAGGCGCATTTCAGCCCTTTTAATTGAAAAAACTAACCAGGAAAATCAATTAAGCATAATTCAAAATCAGTAAACTCGATGTTTTTAACAATAAATATGTTTTAAAATGTTAAAAACATTAAGTTTGGTGATCTTGAATTATGCTAAATTGATTTTCCTAGTTAGTTTTTTCAATTAAAAGGGCTGAAATGCACCTTAAAAACCATCGTTCAAAAGGCTGAACTGTGCCTTTAATAGCCATAATAAAAGAGTAACCCTACCTTTCCCACTAGCGATAAATTCGGCCATTTCCTCGTTAATATTGACAGTGCCGCCCTCGACTGCGTCAATAATTAACACCAAGTATTTGCCATTTCTGTCACGCTCGTCCATGCGACACACAAGTTCTTTACCATTGACCTTTTCCAGAAATTTGTGAACGAACTTGTTCTTCTTCTTCTCTGAAGACGATAAGTTTGTGATGCTACATTCGATGGCTTGAACTGGCAGCTCCAGAAACTCAGGATTCAATACAGCAACACTAAACATAGAAGTTATGAAATCAATAATACATAGCTGAAAAAATGGCTAAGGGCAGTGCAATTAGTATAGGGTTTTTCAAGACTATCAAATTTCGGAAGAGTGCAATTGACGATTCCCCTTATTACGTTTTCGTAGCGCTTTGCATTGAGGTTATAGTGGTATCACTGATATTCAAGATGGCTCATTTTTTGTCCCGACCCGTGCAAGAACTCTTAAAAAAAGTTGGGGTCAGGTGCGCGATAGCAAACAGCAAAATACCGTAAACCTCCGACTATAAGCCCAGGGCTTATATACTTTCGTATAAAGCGACTTTTGATGGGCTTACACAAGGGTGGGCTTATATACGGGGGGGG